ATGTGTCCCGGGGGGGGGGGGGGCGGAAAGGGGGGGGGGGGGGGTGTCTTCATATTAATGTCCATGGTTTCAGAATGGGATGTCCAACAAGCTCCCATAGGTGTGATGGTCAGGTGCCCAGTAAGTTCCATAGGTGTGGTCTGGTGTCACAAAATGTTGTCCATATAGTGTACACAACATCTGCCCAAACCATTCAGTTAAACAAATGTACATTTCACAATTGTATAGAAACAACATGAACAACGGTGTACCAGGCAAACTGCTAAATACACACATTTTTGTTATTCTGTCCATCCAGTCCTATGATACACATACATCTACTGGCTAGTAAGATCCCTCTACTACTTCCTCATTTACTGGTTCACCTCCATGCTCATTGAAGGCAATAATACCCATTCATTGTGTAATGAGCAGTCTGGAGTTAGAGTTGACACGATGTTTGTATTACTGAACAAGGAAGCGTGTTAAATGTCTGGCTGTATGGCAGAAGTGAAAATCACAAGACTGACTAAACAGATTTGAAAGTCTTTGGCAGACAAAATCTATATATGTTTGTACTATGTATTAGACGTCCACCCATCGTTCAACTTGGCATACACCATTCCACACAGTTTACCTTGACGGCCGCTTTCTTGGAGGCTTTTGGTTGACCATTTTGGGGCTTAAGCGCACCGGGATTTTTCTGGAACTCTTCGCTTAGAAGCAGATGTACTTCTGGAGATAACCGCTCATCCACTGCCCCCAATTTGTTTATCAGCTGGAAAAAGGTTTTTCAAACAACAATACATTGATAAAAGATTAACACCACAAGGGTGACACTTTCCCATGTATGAGAATAAAAAGACTAAACATTGACGGAGGGGATAAGACAGAAAAGGTGCTTCAAGATGAAAATGACGCAGTGGGAACGGAAGGTGATACTGATCATTGCTGAGGAGTAATGAGGATAGGACTCGTGGCGCACTCACATTTCTATAGGTGACCAGTCTTTCGATGACGGGGTGCCCAGTGATCGGCAGTCTCTTGGCTTTCAGAAACAGGTAATAACTGATATTTGGGCAATAACTAGAAAAGGGAACAACAAGACATTCATTACAAGCCGTGCGCAGAGCGGGAGAAATCACTAAACATAAGCCTAGATGGTACTCACTTCATATACAGCTGGAATTTAGTCTGCAGGTAGGCGCTACCCTGAAAAAAAAACACAAATATCTCATTTTACACAATGCATGAAACAAATAAAACAGACATGCCATGCAGTAACTGTGCTTTACTGTTCCCCTCGCCTTCAGTACATTTCTAATGGATAATCTCCCCTACGCTTGAACCCAAAAGCAACAATGACGTTGTCACTTCCAGGTTCAGGCTGTTGATTTTCCGGCTGCTGTGTCCGCAAATACGATGGTGAAGCACGATTTCTGCTTCATCAGCTTTTTGGGTTCACAGGTGACATTAAGGGTCCAATAGACCCCTGAATCTCCTTAAACAGGTTGGGCTACCTCCTGGCGGACCTGCACCCAATTCATCCTTTGCTATAAATATGCTCCAAAATGGAGGCTCTCATAGATTAGAGTTAGGACCGCACTATACAGAGGGGCCTGGACGAGGCCGTGCGGCTTCCACAGGTTTTGCAAAAGTTGTGCAACTAAAACCTCAGTTTTTAACCCTAATAGTTAGACAGTGTCCTTTTTTTTGCAGGCCGGCTGGAGAGTGTGCTGGGAAATGTCTGTTTTCATAAAGAGGACCAGTCACATCCTCTGTGCTCGTTAGCCCCCTATGTAACAGCAATAAAGTTAAGTGAATAAAAAAAAAAAAGTTGAAAAAAAATTAGATATACAAAAACTAGAAAAACAAGCCCCCCATTCCACATACAAATACAAACACGCGAAAGGTGCGCTTACGTGCAAAAGACAATTGAAGTACACATTGCATATAGCCGTGAACGTCAGAGTGAGAGCAATCACTGATAACAATGGAATGAGTGGCAAAGCATTTTAAATGGCTACCTATGGGCAATTTTGGGTACTGGAGTTTTTTTTTGCTGTTTGGCATCTATTTAAGTGACATCCACAAGTTTTATATTTTACAGCAAAATTGGGTATTATATTGTTTTTATTCCTAAAAATATAGGATTTGATAAACATCATGTGACATTTAAAAAAAAAAAATGCAACTATCATTTCTTTTATTCTACAGGGCCTCAACTTAGAATTGTTTTCAGGGTTTCTGCAGTCTTCTAGCCAGAAATTGTGATTTTAACGTGCAAAAATTAGAAATCTGCTCTAGTAGGGAAGTGGTTAATGTAACTCTGGATATCATTACATTCCTCCCATGTGATGTACTACATTGACTATACAGGGAATCCTCCGAAATCACATCAACCTGTAGAACACTCATCAGTGCAGCAAATACAGCCAAGTTCCTGCCCCCCTTTTGTTAAACACAACCTCATACCTTTCCTTCAGGTATGGTCCCATCTTTCACCATCTGCAACAATGGTTCCAATTCATTTTTCACCTCGGCCAACTAGAAGAAAAAAAAAAAGAAAGATTGGAGCAGACAACATGCCACAGTTCATAATAAACTACAATGATGAATAAAACTGGAACAAAAGAAAATGGGAGAACTGGAGCCACAGCTCAGAGCAGGCAGAATCTTATTTTATAGGATGACAACACCATTTTGGTTGGAAAGTTTTAGGTGGAACTCCATTTTGCTCCAAAATCTTAAAAATAAGGAGTTCAATCTTAAAAATACTTTCAAGTACCTTAACCATTAAAGTGACATTAAACCCTCAGATTTTGTAACATAAAACAATACTGTAATGTGTGCCTTACTGTAATCCATGGTTATTATCCCTTCTCTTTGCTGCTCTTCCTTTTAAATCTGTATCTCTTCTCATGCTTGGGGAGAACTTCCCTTTGCAGCTGAGTGCCTCTTCCTGTAGTGCTGGCTCAGGTTGTGAACCTGCACACAGACACCATGTATCTATTTCAGAGACAAGGCAGTCTGCTGCAAAACAGAAGTTCTGCCCAGCATGAGAACAGATACGGATTTAAAAGGAAGAGCAGCAAAGAGAAGGGAAACAACCATGGATTATAGTAAGGCGCACATTACAGTATTGTTTTATGTTACAAAATCTGAGGGTTTAATTTCACTTTAACAAAAATGTATCTTATTTGTGTATCACCCGGCTGTAGATCCTCAAATCATCTCTGAATTGGTGCTGCCACTGTCCTTCCTTCTGGAGGGGGGCTACTTTTGTTCCCCATGGTCCCTGTGTGTGTGTTGTAAAGTAGCCACCGCTCCAAGCTCACTCCCGTGATGGACTACAATCTCAATACAAATTAGTAAACTAAACCTGAGATTGTAGTCCATCACGGGAGCGAGCTTGGAGCGGTGACTACTTTACAACACACACAGGAACCATGGAGAACAAAAGTAGCCACCATTTCAGAGATGGCCTAAAGAATCTACAGCTCAGTGATACACAAATAAGACATTTCTATTAATAGTTAAAGGTAATTAAATGGACTTTAAAGATTTAAGACCTGAGATCTCACTCTTGCTGCTGTTAAGCACACTTGGAATTTGGGAGGCAATGTGTGAGGTTAAACAACTGATGCAATATTGAGATTGCTAAATATACCTTCTACAGACAAGAGCACTTTTATTTATTTAATTCATCAAAATAAAAGAACCTACATTCGCACTTTATGACTTTATGAAAACTGCCAAAATGTCAGTTAAGAGTTGAATTGCAATAGCGGTGTCTGCTGTGTAAACCAATAGCTTGGGGGGAGAAAGAATGACAAGCTCTAAGGGCTCTGCAAACTGACACACAGGCCACTTGGGGGGTGAGGGGTAAAAAGACAGAGCGCACCAACAGAGTGACGTTCATTATAAAACTATATATTAAAAAAACAGGTTTATTAAAACACAGTGGTTTAGGGGGCAGCATTTTGCATGTTCTCACTGTGCTTGCATGGGTTTCCTCCAGGCAATCCAATTTCCTCTCGAAGACATTTCATACTCCAAAGACATGTTGGTAGGTTAAATGGCTCCTTTCTAAACTGCATAGTGTGATTGTGGGATAGGGGCCTTCTAGGGCCTTGGTTCTCAACATGACCCAAAAGTGGGTCGCGACCCCATGTTCAGTAGGTCGCCGCCTGCCTTTCACTTTTCTAGGTGAGAGGCTCCTCAGCCTCCCCCTAGCGCAGCACTGCCAGTTCTCACGCTGAGCAGACATTCAGAATATGCTGCCCGGTGCAGAGTGTCAGCTTGAGGTGGGGTGGGCTGGAGCTATGGCCAAGAGGGCACTGGAATGCCATTTTTTCAATTGGAGTGCGAGTTGGGTCACGACTTAAATACAAGGACAAATGTGGGTCCTGAGGTTACGCAGGTTGAGAACCACTGTTCTAGGGCATTGTGTCAGTGTGGAGATATTCAGAGGGAAGACGGGGTGGTAGCACAGGGGCTGCAGATTCTGAATAGTGTCAGCCTCCAAATAAATTGCAGCCTTATAATAAATCTGCAATTTCCATAGAAATGTTGGCGGCAATGAACTCTGGCTACCAGTCTCTTCGGGGACAAGCCACAAGACCCCAAAGACCAATCTAGTGTCGTAATAGGAAAAAGTCCTGAAGTTTTGCTCGTTCATTTAGTATTATCTCAGCACTTTACCTTCAGCTTCAGATCCTGAATAAGTTCCAGCAGCTCTGGAGATTCCTTCTTCAGCAATTTACGTTTCTCCTTATCAGACATTTTCTCCAAATCCTTCACAATCTTCCCCTCTGACAGCTTCTCATCGCTTTGTTTTTCACTAAATTCCTGCAAGGGATTGAGAGAAATGAGAAAAATCTTCATAACAAAAGAAATCTACTTGTTGTGCAAGTCCAGCAAAAGTGCAATTTGGGCCCCACAGCAAAACCATCAATGTGACTGCCACTAGAAAAAAGGAAAGCAGTTGTAGAAATGTTATTTCTTATCTTCCACAAATATATTATTTTGTTTTGTCTTTTAATCCAATGCCGCAGCCGCTGAGCAATCAATCATGGAATATTGCATAGTGTCACAGGCTCGGTGTCCCTTATTTCCGGATTGCAGCGTAGCCACTGTACCCACTCCTCCCTGGACCATCAGTCCTTAACATTTCCTGGGTAGTTTATGCTTTACCAGTGGCAACAAAATACAAACTGCTTTCATATTAGAGCTGCAACAACTAATCGATTAAATAGATAATGAGAATAGTTGGCAGCAAGTCTCATTATTGATTAGTTGGGGGGAAAGAGTAAGAGCGAGAATTTTTTTAATACAACCAATCGGTTAATTGAAATAAAAAAAAATCCTCCAACTAATCGATTATGAAAATAAACGTAAGCTGCAGCCCTATTTCATATCACTTGTAAATGGCCTTATAGACTATATACACAATCATTTTATATACATGTATTGTCCAAAGACGAATTCAACCTGCACAAATCAGTTTGTAGCCACAAAGTGCATCGGGCTCCATAGCAGTATTATGGTCCTCTATGGCTATAATTCTAGCCTTGTGTATGATCCATTCTGCAGGCATTCCATACCCAAGCCTGGCTCGGCCATTTGGAGTCCTGGGTGCAAAGATTCTTCTATCCATGAAATTGAGAACCAATCCGTTTACCTCTAAGAACTCCAGGCCATAATCTTCCTCACTAAGGGTGTTCACCAAGCGTTTCTGGATATTTTGTGCTTCCTCCTCTTCCTCTTCAGCCTCCGCCTCTAGCTCCTCTTTGGTTTTTTTCTCTTCTATATAAATGAAATAGTTTGGGGTTTATTTTTTTAAGTTATCATAAATACTTTCGAACACTGATAAAAGCTCATAGACAAGGCTGTTGTTACTGCAAAGCAGAACTAAACCCAAAAATGACAGATGTTTGGCTTTGTGCCTAGACAAGTGCTAGAATAAAACATAGAAATAATATATAACACCAATAGAACCATACATACTTTTCTTGCTGTAGTCTTTGTAGTCTGTGTCATAGTACAGCTTCTTCTTCTGTCCCCAGGCCAAAGCATCCGGCAAACCTAAAACCACAGGTAAAGTTAAATTAAAAGGACATTCAGTCATGTGTTATTCACCTTATTATACTTGTACCACATTTTTCTACATATTTCACTCTGCCTCAGGGAAGACACAATGACAGCGTAAAATCCATCTGGAGGTACAAGCAGATATGAGGAAAAAAAAAAATGGTCTTTAAAATGACTGCATACAATACTTAAAGATTATGGGAAAACACAAAGGCTCGCACAATGCGTCTGCCTGCACCCAAAAAAATGACAAACATATTCTGAATAGCGGTTATGTACAACAAGGACAGTCAGACATGCGGAGGGGGGGGGGGGGGGGGGGGGGGGTTTGGTGGTCCGTTTTTTTTGTGTGTCCAGATTGCATAGGTACGCCACAGAAAGCACAATCAATGCATATTATGCTTTAAAACAATTTCATACTGCCAACAGGTTCTTGGACAACCCTACAAATGTCAGTCCTTTGCAACCTACATAACCCCAGAGGGAAATAGAAAGAATTTGTCCTAATTAGACCAACCATCTTTTTCACGATCTTCCAGGTCACTTCCCATCGAAATCTGGTCATCTTCATCCTCCGCCTCATCATCATCTTCCACCTCATCAGGAATATCAAGGGGCATAACCTCATCCTACAGTGACATAGTGAAAGAACTGTGTGAGATGGTGGAAGTGCATATCAAATGGCTTTCTGGCATCTCAGCTAAATACCATAGATTTATAAATTGCTCCCGTCACCTACACGCACTGCATAGAGCCAATTTGAGGGGTAACCAAGTATGCATGAAAAATCAGCCTAAACATTACTACATACTCTGTCTAGCAATTCATCAGAATAAAGACAGGCCTCATGAATATTAGCTAGGCAGCACCTTAAAGTTGTCTTAGCTGAATGCAACAATGAGTCTTTGTGACAACAGGTCAGCCAAATTTTCCTGTTTCTATTCAGTGTGGTCCTACATTTCTTTCTATGGGACAAGTAATCGCCCAAATGCTCAGTATAGGTATTAGTGCATTCCTAGAAATGTGTACAAAAATATAAGTAGACAGATCATCTATAAGCTAGTTCCAGCAAGAGCTCCATCCAGACTGAAGCTGAACACAGCTCTTACTGTATAAACTACAAACAGTGAGGGCCAACGAGTCTCCATAGTTATACTTTACTAGAGGTTGTTATTGATCACTTGGCCTTCCTTATGTATGATTTTCCACACTTACCTCGCTGTCATATTGTTCTTCATCGCTGTCAAATTTTACTCCCTTTTCCATCAGACTCTGAAAGCAAAGTTAAAGGTTGTATTAGATGAAGACACAGAAGAAAAAGAAAAGTTTATTTTGTTTTTTTCTTAGCAATAACATCCTATGCGGACATAGGTAAAGGACCCCTGAAAAGGTTCTACACCAGTTACAAGAAAGGAACCAGGGATTCTGATACTATGGAACGATATGGAGGCAGTCCATCCTCTCTGGACATTAAGCAGCCTGCAAAATCATCGGATCTGGTGTATGATATAATGCAGCAGTCCACGTATAGACATGAATATAACTGTGTTTCTTTGGTTTGTGCGTTTTGTTTTTTTGTCAGAGGTGTACAGACAGTCTGAGTCCAGCATAGCTCCTATTATGATGGTTCTGAGTTTACCTGATTCACCAAGTCAATTAAATACCTTTCCTGTGACCAAAAGTTGAATGTTCATAGATGTATCCTAGTGTTATTTTCATTTATTGTACTCTGTGTAGTCATACTACCTACTGCATATCTCGCAGTTCACTTAAAGCGTAGGTATAGCATTTACTTTTTATAGATGTCTTCAGGCCAGTCACATGACAGGCAGGGTCCTCTTTTGCTCATCTCTAGCGCTGGGTGGTGCTCAATGATGCAGATAGTTATAGTGGCGTGATGACGTCAGCTCCACTCTCCACATTTCTTGATATTACCACAGGACACTGTGGTGATGCCCCCATGATACCCTATGCTCATAGGATCCTCAGGGTTAAATGAAAATGGGCGCCATTCAACCAGAAAGACTGAGGACATCTAGTGGCAGAAATACATTACTATGGGGGACAACACTAGAGAGGAGGCAAGTATTATAACCAGAACTGCTTTTCTGGTTTAAAACCCCTGCTGGGGTACGTTTAGGCGGGCCGCTTTTAGGTTACAGAACCTCATTACCCTAAACAGGCTTACCTTAAACTTTTTCTCGTGGTAATCGTCAATTTCATCATTATAATACTCTGAGGAGAGCTGCAATATAACAACCAAAATCATTTCAATAATTGATCCAGAATAGGAATACACATCATAGACAATCACATTGGTCTGATTATTAGGTTTTACCTCCGTCGTGGAAGGGATATCTGCTTTGGATAAGGATTCATCATATACAAGATTATCCTCTTTGGCTTTTTTGGGCCTCAGAGTTCTGCAAGACAATGAAACATTCTCTGTACACAATAAATACATTTGTCACATATTCATAGAGGAACTAGACATTGGCTGCAGGCTGTGATTACACTACAGCAATAACAGAGCTATGTCCTGATGAAGCTGTTTTTTCCATTGCAGGGCAAAGATCTGCACTTATTCATTGAAATACACTTTACTAAAAGACCTGTGCCCTCAGGAGACCCCATATGATTGAAGGAATGTGCACGAAGGGTGCATAGGTATGCATGTTTGATTCGCGCTCACTAGGCTGAAAAGAAAAACCAATATCATTGAAAGCTGCTTCCAACAGAGGTGGCATTTATGTGGTGGTTGGGAGTTTGGCTAACTGCACAATTGCCCAGGCCCCCCAGGGTTCTAAAGGGGTCCCTTCCAACATTAATATTTTAATATTACAGCAGTACTGGATGACCACAGTGACAAAGGTCACAATGACCACAGTCATGCAGTGTACAAGTGTAATACTGTCTCTCTGCTTCTCCACTCAGACTTCTGTGTCTGCATTGCTCCCATGGCTTCTTTTGCAGCTCTGTCATGCGACAGGGCTACAAGCAAAGTTAGGAGTGAGCGCCTTTGCAACTCTGCCCATGCAAGTGTGAAGTGCGGGTACTTCATCATTCCACTGTACCCCCATCTATTTTGTGTGTGCATGATAGATAGATAGATATTATAGTTGTAAAATTATGTTTACAACTATGGCAATGATTTTTATATGGATGTATACTACTGTGCCCAATGATTTTTGTATGTACAGTATGTATATACATGCATATACCACCAAAGATTTCCAAACACTAGAGGCCCGAATTATTCCAAAGCCGGTGTTCTATTGAAAGCTCCAACTTATCGAGATCTCCAACTACCTCACTTACGGTGCTCAGAAAGACTGGAGCTCTGTACAGCTGGGGTGCGCATGCGCGCATAGCATTTTCAAAATACTCGTCCAGTTTGCCACCTGCTGAATATTGTTAGGCCCCAATTCACACACGAATCGGCCTGCACGTACAGCTCCGTGCTGCGTGGGGGGCCGTACCAAGTAGCTGCCGGGAAGGACAGGTGCTGCGTGCGATTATAACGCAGCCCCCGTCCTTCTCTATGGGGCTACGCGGCCGTACACCCCCTACGCTCACCTCATTTGCAGGCCCATAGGGGTGCGGGTGATCGTATTCAAACGCCGCCGGAATGGATGCGTCCCCGCCAGAAAACCCGCACCCCTACGGACCTGCAAATGAGGTGAGCGTACGGCCGCATAGCCCCATAGAGAAGGACGGGGGCTGCGTTCTAATCACACGCACCTGTCCTTCCCGGCAGCTACTTGGTACAGCCCCGCACGCAGCACGGAGCTGTACGTGCAGGCCGAATCGTGTTTGAATGGGGCCTTAAAATGCAACTATACAGAGCTCCGTCAGTCTTTGTGTTTTGCAGGCTAACGCGGTCTGGTCGAAATCTCCAACTTGCAAGTACCCGGCAGTGAGGAAGTTGGAGATTTCGGCGAGTTGGCACTTTCGATAGAACACCGGCCTTTGCTTGCAGCCACAACACTGACTCCCACTCGGTGGACAATGTCATGTAACAATCACCTATGTCCCAGAACTGTCCCTGGACATCAGGACCTGCTGAGCCCTATATAAAATACATTTTAACCCCCCTACCATACATCCCCATTTTCTAAGAAGGGAAAAGAAGGACAAGTTTTGCTACAAAAGTATTTAGGGAAAGGACACTCTCCCATTTATACTGGCCATATGGAATTAATGCACAAAGAATAATTAGCCAAACTCAGTTTTGCTTTACTTTTCCTTTACACTGACTCTTCTAAACAAATGCAATCCTTTACTGGGTGGCAAGTGTAGTAGAACACTTCTGGTAGGTAAACATTCATCTTATTTTGTAGAGCGCTATACACTGGACGAAAGAGGCACCATTGGGCAGGAAAGGGGGACTGTGGGGTTTGGTTCTAAATGAGGACAGAGGGGTTTTTTTCCCCTTCTAGAAGCTCAGACCACCCCGAACACACAGCTGACAATCCCCCCTCCAGGTCTCTCTATCAGTCACTCACCTGCGGGCCTTCCCCATCCTCCCCTCTTCTCCAGACTCAGCTCCCACGTGCCTACCAGTTCCTGTCCGCCACCGTATACCTCCCCTCCAGAAACATAAGCGCAGAATTTAAGTTCCTACTAGACGCTAGATATATCTTTCCGCTTATCCTCAGAATAAATAATGAATGTGTCTTCTGACTATTTGGTTGCTCTTTCTGGTGCTTTTTTGGCCGTACAGCTATGCTGGGACTTGTAGTTCTACCCTTACTTTCAAGCATTAGCTTTCCTAAATACAAGGTCAGTAGCCAATGAGTGGGTGATGATCGCTACCATGTGTATGTACCAGTGAGTGAGGGACACTTTATTTAATCGTGTAGATCTTCATCTCAAGTCTTTGTGTCTAATTCTGGACACATACACATATATGTAAATAAAGCATAATAAATGCAAGGACCGGGGTGGCTCGACGTGAATTGAACTCAATATATAGTCTGGCGGATAACAGAATTGTTCGTTTTAATTTGTATTTCCTTTATTTGTTACATTGTATACGTTTTGTTTGTTCCGCCGGGGAGAATTGTACAGCGCACGCGGCAGGCTTCCACTGTTGCCATGGTGACGCCCTCTGCTGCCATATATGGTTAGGAGGCGGAGGGGGGAGCCCCGGCTGGATCGGAGGATTTGTCCTGCTCTTCCAGGCTCAGGAGGCTCTCTGCTACCTGTTGATGTGGTCACTGTATGAGGAGGGGGGATGGTGGAAGACTGATAATTGGGGTGAATCAGGCAGCCTAGAGGAGGACTGACAACTCCGGAGGAGTCCAGGACTGTGTGGGGACCAGAGCTGGAGGCTGGCAGCATGATATGTGGATGACTTGGGTACAGGAACTGAGGATCTGTGGAGTTGAGATCATCCTGGTATCTGAGGCTTGAGGCTTTCCTGCACTTCATTGACTTGGACCTGGGCAGTGTTTCTTCTGATTGGTCTTCTACATCATCTGGACCTGGGCAGCTATCTTCTGATTGGTCTTCTACATCATCTGGACCTGAGCAGCTATCTTCTGATTGGTCTTCTACTTCCTCTGGACCAGGGAAGGCTGTCTTCTGATTGGTCTTCTACTTCATCTGGACCTGGGCAGGATATATATTCTGATTGGTCTTCTACATCATCTGGACCAGGGAAGGCTGTCTTCTGATTGGTCTTCTACTTCATCTGGACCTGGGCAGGCTATATTCTGATTGGTCTTCTACATCATCTGGACCTGGGCAGGCTTTCTTCTGATTGGTCTTCTACTTCACCTGGACCTGGGCAGGCTATCTTCCGATTGGTCCTCTACGCCACCTGGACCTGGGCAGGCTGTCTTCTGATTGGTCTTCGACTTCATCTAGACCTGGGCAGGCTGTCTTCTGATTTGGTCTTCTACTTCATCTGGACCTGGGCAAGAGTGGTCATTTCGGGGCCAGACCTCAGCGGTGGGACTCATATGTGACCTAATTATAAAGCCTTGTGGGTAGAAAAGCTCAAAGGTGGTTTGGATTTGGGCACCATTGGTTGTGGGCTAAATAGACTTAAACTGCAGGTTTTGGAGTTTTACCTGAAAAGTAGGCTCTACCAATGAGGTTCTGCCAATGGGCGTTGGTTATCTCAATCAGTAGACCTTGGCCATGAACTAGACCACCTCCTGAAGTTGGCCACTGGTCAAAAAATTGTGTGCCTGTCTTTTTGCAGTTGGGTTTTATAGTGACTGGCCTAGGTGTAAGGGTTTAGTGGTGATTGAGACCCAGTCTTCTGGTTCATCTGGAACTGGTTAGAGGTGGCCTTTCAGTGAGTAGAACCTGGACAGTAGGACTTGTATCAGAACTTTGTATAAAGCCTTAATGGTATGATTGAGAGTGACATAGGACTGGATAGCAAGGTTTGGGAGAAACCTGGAAAGAAGAGTTTGGAGATGCTGTGATCATCAAACAGGTCTTGCATTATTTCAGTCAGTAGGTCCCGGTTGGGATGTGGCCCTGGATGTAGCGAGTAAGGCTTGGGGTGCTCTTCCCTCAGTATAGTGGTGCTCAGTGGACCTGGTCCTGAATCTGTCTACTGATTTTAGGATTTGGAGGGGCTGCGAATGACAGGACTTGGGTTATCCCACTCGGTAGAGCTTGAGAATGAAGAAGACCTTGACTTAAAAGGTAGGAATTAGGACTGACCTTCTTCGGGATAGTGGGGCTTGGTGGACCTGGATCTAAATCTTGCTACCGATCATAGAATTTAGGATTAAAGGTGCTTAGGATATCCCACTCAATAGACCTAGGGCATGACGTTGATCTGGACATAAACAATACGACTTGGGAGTGACTTTCTCCAGGACAGTGGTCTTCATGAGCTTGGCTGCTGATTCTAGAATTGTATTTGGAAGTTGCCTCTCTTTTTACAATAGGGTTATAGAACTAGTTTAGGACATAGAGGTTTGGTGGGGATTAGGACCTAGGAAGTGGAGCTTGAGGGTTTCGTTTCCAGACCCCATCAGCTGGCCAGAGCAGCAAGTTGATGACTATTGACTGTAGCTTGTTTGACTGGCCCAACAAAGCTAGGTTTATGGAAACAGTTGATTTGGGTCTTCAGAAGGACCTGTGACCGTTTGGTTTGCCAGAATAAGAAATCCAGATGCCCTCATCCTCTAGCCCCATGGTGTATATACTTGGAGCCTCTTTGCAGATTCCCTTCCTTGGTTCTGGACACAAGACATGGACTGTGGTACACCCAGACCGGTCTCCCAGTACATTCACTGTGGCTGGTTCTTGCACTGAGGATATGAAGACAGGGAGTTAACAGCTACAATGGATAAGGTAACGCCGAGCACCTGTTGTGTGCACATGTTAATAATTCATTACATTTAACTTGCTTTTGTTTTCATGCCGTTTTCTTGAAGGCAAAATTGAAAAATATCAAGTTGTAGCCTTTGGCTAATTTATTAAGGTCTACGTCCAAGAAAATGTTTTAGATAGAGTGTGGAAGGGTTTGAAGACCTGTCAGGTTACCCAATACCTCACATGCCAGGGGTAGGCAAACTCCGGCCCTCCAGCTATGGTGCAACTACAAATCTCATTCGGCATTGCAAGACTCTGACAACCACAGGCATGACTCCCAGAGGCAGATGCATGGAGGGATTTTTAGTTTCACCACAGCTGGAGGGTTGGAGTTTGACTACCAGTCATACCCCTTTACTAAGAAGTGGGTGCCAAATATACTGAAAGACAGAAGATGGCCACCACTCCAAGTAATGTTAACACAAAATTTACTGAAGATCCATTTCCAGACAGATAGTTCACCACTTCACCTTCAGTAGATCTTGTGTTAACTTTGCTTGGAGTGTTGGCTATCTTATAGGATTTTATTGCTGTTTGTGAAGTTCTTTCCACTGTTCAAGTGACAGAAGGGAATGTTATGTGCTCCCTCAATACATACTGGATCCCATCGCATTCCTGACCGGATTAAACCCACAGTAAGTCGGGTGGGTGCCGGAAGTGACTGAAGATGCCTCCACATATCAAAGCGTAACAAACCAAAAAGTCACTCGCACTCCATTGTGAATAAAGGTCAATCTTCTTTATTGACCCTAGTGTTGTCAGATTTGCTAAAGCGACTTCTCGAAACCAAATGGTCCTTTCTTCAGGCGAACACAAAGCGTGTGTTTTGCCTGAAGAAGGGACCACTTGGTCCAGAAACGTCGCTTTAGCAAATGTGACAACACTATGGTCAATAGAGAAGATTGACCTTTATTCACAATGGAGTGCGAGTGACTTTTTGGTTTGTCATGTGCTCCCTTACACATGATAGTACACTGCCCCTTACCATTAAGAAAAATTATACACCCTGACCCTCTCTTTTTAAGTTCCTCCTGGAAGCCTTCGGTCACGAAACGAAGGGTGAACATTGCACATAGCGAGTTCCATGCAACTGCATTCCTGGCCAAAGTCTCTGAAAGTTCTGTTCAGTTTGCCTGCAAGTGATTATGAGAAAATTGTGTAAAACTCAATCTGAGCTAAAATATGGTTGTATGGGTTTCCTCCCATATTCCCAATGACTTGCTGGTAGGATAATTACCTCCTGTCTAAATTGGCCCTTGTATATATGCATGTGAGATAGGGACCTTCGATTGTAAGCTCCTTGAGGACAGGGACTGATGTGAATGCACAGTATGTAAAGTGCTACGTAAATTGTTGTCACTCTAAAAGTGTGTGAAATAAATAAATATTTACATCGACTTTCTGACTTGGAATAGTGGCAGCATTCCTAAAGTAGTATCAGTAGTTCACTGATTATTTTTTTTTTTTTTACTGAAGTTGTTTGTCATCAAAGATATCAACCGGATTTGTGCTTCAGGAATTAAATAATATTTTGGTCCTGAAAAAAATATTTTGGTCCCGAAAGAAAACATATTTTTGTAATGTATCGTGAAAATTGCAGTTTATTGTATTGCTTCAGCCTCTTCATAGAAGATTATTTGTCAATATTAGAGTGACCTGCTGTGCAATAACAATGTAACAATAACAACTGCTGACCTCCTGCTGAAATTGGTAATTGCCCATAGCTCCCAATTGTCCCTCATTTGTTTCTCCTTCCGCCTCCGTTGCCTCTCTCTTTTGGATTGACATCTAGACCTCTATAAAATGTTTTAACTACCACAAGTGTTATGCTGCACTAAAGCCTTCACCCAAAAACTATATTACGGCATCTGTTCATTTAAAAAAAAAAACAGTATCAAGGGAAAGCAAAAAAAGCCCTCGTGGGCCTAATTCCTCATGATTCCTGTAACTAGGGGCATGGCAGGGGAGCACCTATTACCATATACTTTGTGTTACAAAGTAGCATAGGGCACAAGGAAATTGGCCTTGTCTATACGTTCGGGCAAAGTGTGAATGGGCCCTTTAAAGGACACTTTATTCCATACTTTGCTCTCACTGCGACGTTCGCGGCGATATGTAACCTGTGCGTCATAATAGGCGCAATCGTCTTTTTTGCACGTATGCCCCCCGACGACGCATGTTATGGGTAGTATGGGTAGGGACTTTAAACATTTTAAAAGTTTTTTAATTCTTTTTTTAATGTGTAACTTACATTTTTTTTGGGGGGGGGGCTTAAATTTGTTTTCCTTTTTTTTTTCACCTAATGTCACCTAGGACCCCCCAAAAGCAGCTGATGCAGAGATCTGCTCCATCAGCTTCTTTCCAGCATCTGAAGCTGGAGAGTGACACAAGAATGCGGAAGTGATGTAATATACAACACTTCCGCATTCTTGCAGAGGAGAGGGGATCGGAGGGAGCTCGTGTACCGAGCTCCCTCTGATCCCCTGTGACACAGCCGAAATGCTGATCTCGTGCTCGCACCGGGCACAGCAGAGCCCGGGATCAGCGGGACAACGGCGGGGG